TCTAAGTACAACTTAAACCTGAGTTTCTACTCACTCCCCCTCAATCACAGCAGTGATACATAAAACAATTTGACTAATGAATTGATGAAGACACTCTTCAAAACATACACTTGATTATGCTTCACAGCTTTTTAATCAAGCAACACAAACACTCTTGCTTCACAACTTTGAGTGATACGCAAACCTAACTTGACTTTGCTTCACAGCTTTAGTCAAGAGACATAAAAACACTCTTGCTTCAAAGCTTTGAGTTATACACAACCCTTACAATTAAAACTTATTCCAAGTCACTTATCACAATGATAATTGCTTGGATTACAATAGTTAAAACTATACAGCTTCTAAATGATCTTCTGTCAAAAAGGGGATACATTCAAAACAACAGCCCTGTTGAATATATAGCAGCTGCATCTTCAGTTAGGGTTTCCACAAAAAGCTAGGGTTAATTCCGTTTGACCTTAAGACTAGGTCACATGACTTTATCAACCAGGTTGGGGTTGAGCTAGGTTAACCCCAAGTCCACGACATTTTCTGTTCTGGAAAGACTGAGTCATAATCCTGAAAAAACTCAGAATTACCCAAACTGCATAACTGTTAGTTCAGAACAGGATGTCTTAACATTTGTTATGACATCTGAGAACCTGTCTACTGATTTAGGTAAATGTGATCTTTTTGCAAAATGCTCAGATACACACTTATAAACAGCAGCACCTGTATGACAATATTTTTCTGCAAAGGTACCTAATAAATCTGTACCTAATAAACTAGAATGTTATGACATCAGACATGACATTCATACACCTGGTTTTACCAAAAATACATGCCAATACCTAAACAACTACAGACATTCCAAACGAGGTATGTGAGGAATGAGTGCAGGCGAAGCAACACAAGAATAGCTTCAGCAAGGATGCAGGAAGCAGATCAAAGGCTAGTCTTGAAGTTATATACTCTGATGTATGTGGACCAATCCAGGTGGATTTGATGGGAGGTAACAAATACTTTGTTACATTCATAGATGATTTCAGTCGAAAGCTATGGACTTACCTGATCAAGAAGAAAAGTGAAGTGATCGAAGTATTTACCAGGTTTAAGTCTATGGTCGAAAGACAAAGTGGTCGAAAGCTCAAAGTTTTGAGAACTGATGGTGGTGGAGAATATGTGTCGAAAGACTTCGATAGATTATGTGAAAAGGAAGGGATTGTGCATGAGGTGGTGCCACCCTATACTCCACAACAAAATGGAATTGCAGAAAGGAAAAATCAAACCATCATGAATATGGTGAGAAGTATGTTGAAAGGCAGGAGTTTACCTAAAGAGTTTTGGGGTGAAGCTGTTTCAACTGCAACATACATTTTGAACAGATGTCCTACAAAGAAGCTAGAAGGAATTACTCCAGAAGAATGTTGGTCTGGTGTGAAGCCTAGCTTGAGTCATCTGAAGGTATTTGGATCTATTGCACATATACATGTGCCAGATCAGTTGAGAAGAAAACTTGATGATAAGTCAAGTCAAATGATCCTAGTTGGATATCATTCGACAGGAGGCTACAAGTTGTTCGATCCAGAGAACAAGAAGATTGTGATCAGCAGGGATGTGATCATAGATGAGTTTAAAGAATGGGATTGGACTGCAAATGTCAAGAAAGATTCAGTGGGAATCATATTCGAAGAGCCAGAAACTCAAGTCGAAAGAGAAGTTCGACAAGAGGAACCAGCAGATATACCAAGTACAAGCAGACCTCAAAGAATAAGATGCATGCCTGCAAGATTGCAAGATTGTGTGATTACATCAGATTATGTAATAGATAATGAAGGTGAGCTGGTACATTATGCTTTCTATGCATATGTCGAACCTGTTAATGCAGATGAAGCATTAAAAGATTCGAAGTGGGTGAAAGCAATGAACAAATAAGTAAAGTTTATCGAAGACAACAACACTTGGTCACTTGTCGAATTGCCTCAAGGAAAGAAGGCAATTGATGTCAAGTGGGTATACAAAGTGAAAACGAATTCGAAAGGTGAAGTAACTCGACACAAAGCAAGACTTGTGGCGAAAGGATTTCTACAGAAAGAAGGAATAGACTTCGACGAAGTTTTTGCACCTGTTGCTAGGATCGAAACAATCAGGTTGGTTGTTGGTCTAGCAGAAATAAACAGTTGGCACATATGTCAGATGGACGTGAAGTGTGCATTCCTAAATGGACCCTTAGATGAAGAAGTCTATGTTAAACAACCAGTTGGGTTTGTGAAACATGACGAAGAAAGAAAGGTGTACAGGCTACATAAAGCCCTGTATGGATTGAAACAAGCTCCAAGGGCTTGGAATAAGAAAATTGATAATTTTCTAAGGGAGAAGGAATTTGTGAAGTGCACAACTGAACATGGAGTATATGTAAGAAGAAGCAAGAGTAAATTGCTTATACTATGCCTCTATGTAGATGATTTGTTGATAACAGGTAGCTGTAAAAGTGAGATCGAAGACTTCAAAGGTGATCTCAGCAAGGAATTCGAAATGTCTGATTTGGGTGAGATTTCATATTTCTTTGGTATCGAATTCTACAAGAGCAGTAGAGGTTTGATGATGTATCAAAGAAGATATGCAGGAGAAGTTCTCAAGAGGTTTGAGATGGAAGAATGCAACTCAACTTCGACATCTGCAGAACCAAGACTGCAACTGTCGAAAGATGCAGATGAAGATGATGTTGATCCAACCCAATACAAAAGACTTATTGGATCATTAAGATATCTTTGTCATACAAGGCCTGACTTAACATATAGTATAGGTATGGTAAGTAGATTTATGCAGAAGCCAAAGGTATCACATCTAGCAGCAGTGAAGAGGATACTAAGGTATCTCAAAGGAACTTTCGATTATGGCATTTTGTTTCTTGCAGTTGATAAAGGAAAAGAATGCAAGTTAGTGGGATACACTGATTCGAGTTGGTGTAGTGATGCTGAAGATCGAAAGTCAACAGCAGGATATGTGTTTATGTTAGGTGGTGCACCAATTGCTTGGAATTCAAGAAAGGAACCAGTAGTGGCATTATCATCATGCGAAGCAGAATACATAGTTGCTTCTCTTTGTGCATGTCAAGCAACTTGGATGGTGAAATTGGTCGAAGAGATAACAGGGAAAAATCATGGAGCAATTACCATGAAGATAGACAACATGTCAGCTATTAATCTGGCAAAGAACCCAATAGCACATGGTCGAAGTAAGCACATCGAAATTAGATTCCATTATCTTCGAGAGCAGGTAGCAGATGGGAAGATGAATTTGAAACACTGCAGAACTGAGAATCAGATTGCAGACATCATGACAAAGGGAGTGCAAGTCGAAGTATTCAGAAAGTTAAGAGTCATGATGAACATAGACAGTTTAGACACAATGAATTAGGTGGTGTGTTAAATTGTAATTCATAGTGTCAAAGAAGATTTGATTTATTTTAGATTTAAATAGATTTGATTTAAGTCCAGAATAGATTTGATTTGATTTGATTTAGTAACAAAAATATATTTTGGACTTTGAGCTTAGGGTGTAAGCTCAGTTATAAATAGAGGGAGTAACCCCTATTTTTCAAAGTAAGTCAAGTAAGTCAATTCATTGTAATCACAGAATTTGCAGTTGCAAGTGATTAAGAAAGTTTTCCACAGTTTGTGGGCAGAGAGAAACTCTGCAGAAATATTTGTCTTGTCTTCTTTTCTTTGTTTGTCTCATAATTAAATTGTCATTGTGATAGAAATTCATCATAGAATTTGGTGGATTTCCAACGCAATCAACAACTTCAAATCCAATTTCTCAATATCCAACATACTAAAACACAACATAAACATACAGTGGTAATAACCTTTGATGTTAAAGATGTAATTAAGCATAGCTGTAAATGATTATCTCTCTTTCAATTTCGCATAATGATTTTGTTTTTTTTCTTTTGCTTTTTGATTATCGATTTCTAATTATTTTAAATTGTTTGTTTGAAATATTTTTTATTCGATTTGACTTGTGATGAAACCGACTTTTGATTATGATGGTTTTGTTGTGTTTTGAGTAAATTACTCCTACCGTTGAATTAGATCTTCTTCCTTATTTTAGGCATAATATGTTAAAAGGATTAGCAAGAATATAGGTGAAGCTGTGATTTATGCTCATTTAAAAGCATTGATTTTTTTGGAGGTGAAAGAAATCTGATAGGGGTTGTCTTTTTTATTGGGTGTATTTTTGGAAATTATTTACAGCAGTATTGTGTAAAACTGGAAACAATATAAACAATATATTTGTAAAATGATTTTCCTCAAATCTTCTTATACTAACATTTCATCAAACACCTTACTTCACACCTTATTCCTTCTAAAACTCAACAGTGGTTCAAACTCTCCGGTACATACTCTCAAAACTCAAGTCTTATACTTTCTCTTCAACTCAACTATCTCCATGAGCAACACCAAACCCAAAACCCATTTTCGAATTGCCATCAGAAAATTGATATAGAGAATTTGGTAAGAATACTGATAAATATGTTAAGTATGAAACGGAGGATATTGAAGTGAAACTCAACGATTTGTTTCAAGGAAGCAGTGAATCAATTGGTAGCAGAAAATGAAGTTAAAAGTGTATGCTTTTTGTGTATGTATTTATTGTGTAGTTGTAATACAAAGTTTTGAGAGTAGTTGTAAGAGATGTAAGATCTTGTATTCTAGTAGTATAGACATTACTATATGTTGTTCTGCTCAGAATTCTTATGGTGCAAGTAATTATTGTATTTTTGAACGGGCTATTTTATCCTGTAAACGTCGTCGAATCCTTATTGACAGTATGACGAAACGTCTTAAAGAAAGCGACCTAGTACGCGATTCATATCGATAATTTTCTTTTGTGCCATTTTTTCAAATCCATGACTTACAAAAATTGATGGAACAACTCATTTCATATTAATTTTTAAAAACATTATCGCCAGTACATCACAAAACTCCTAATTATCAATTTACAATATACTATGTCTATGGTGATTGATTTTGACTAATGGGAAACATATTAGTGAAAGCATGTGGACACAAAGCTTCACATTGTTCTCGAGTTGGAGGACAGAAACACAAGAATCCAACACATGAGTCGCAACAAAATTCTAATTTACCAGCTTGTTCTTTATTACACGTACAGTAATTGTTCACACATGGACCTGTGTGAAAGCAACCTTGAGTACAAGCAATGTGCACAACGTTTCTTGCTTCTGATTCTACACACAAATAACATTACAATTTTTGTGAAGAATGGTTTAAAAGTAAATTAATTAACATTAAAAATTATAATGCAATGTATAAAAAGTCTACATTTAAATTTCTAACCTGATGCAATGACGAATAAAACCAACAAAAACACCAGCTTCAATTTAAACCCCATTGTAGTGTACATTCTTGTTTGTCCACACTCTTCCTCTGATATTTATATATAGTGAATGAGCATGTTACTTTATTAATTTATAAATTTAATTTAAATATAAAATTTGCTAATGTATTTTAGTCAGAATTATCATCCATTATACATGTTAAAATATTCTATCCGTTGGATATTCCTATTAAAATTCTTTTATGCTTTCTGTTTACAACAGATTTATTTTAATTCGTAAAGTACTTTTTTTTATACTGAATGAATATTATACTTTATTAATTCATAAATTAAAATGAGAATTTTTTTAACAATAACCATCATTTGAAAAAAAAATATACGAATAATCATATTTTGAAGAAATTTACGCAAATAACAATGTTTCAGAAAACGTTATAATATAATAGTCATCTCAGATGGCGCATGCATTAATATTTTTCAAGGAGGCACCAAGTGAGATGACGTCTAGTCATCTCCTAAATTTTTTTATTTACTTAAGGATTTTCCTGTAGATTTGATTTATCATGCGGATTTAATTGTGGATTTACCTGTGAACTATTTTCTCGCAGATAATTCTGTAAGAAAATTCGCAGTTAAGTCTGCAGGTAATGTCAAATCTGCACGTAGGTAACTGAAAAAATTTGAAAAATATATAGGAGACGTTAATTTAAATGACGCCTCCTCTTTAATTTTTTTTTAAAACATAATTATTTATGTAATTTCTTCGAAATATAGATATTTGTGATTTTTTTTTTTAAATTTGTTAATTATATGATCAAGAATACATCCGCTATACTACCAGTTAAAATTTTTATCCGTTGGATATTCCTATGCTTTTCCCAAACAAATTTATTTTCATTCTTAAAATTTTTATTTTTACCATCATACTTTATTGATATATTTTATCATTTGGATATCCTTTTAAGATTCCTTTATGCTCTTTTTTTCAATAATTAATTTTTTGTTATATATATATATATATATATATATATATATATATATATATATATATATATATATATATATATATATATATATATATATATATATATATATATATATATATATATATATATATATATATATATATATATATATATATATCATGCATCTTATGTGGTATTGTATGATTCTTGAATTGATGATGTCGTATTGTGTTGTTGAATTTATATGATTGTTGACGTATTTGGAATATAATAATGTTGAGTTTATGTTGTGATACTTTTGGTTTATTCTGCTATGTCTGTTACTTATGTCTTATATAATGATTGTGATAAACTCATTCCTTCTGCTTGAATGTTGCTTCTACGTGAGTAACATGCCGGTAATTAAGAGTAGTCTCTAAAGGCTTGGAAGAATAGTTTTGGAGTGTGATTTATTTTTGTTGAGTCTAGAAGGTCTTATTCTGAAATGTGACATCGGGGATGGAAACACTTTATTTTAATAACTATTTTGTTCTTGTTTTGTTATGACATTTAAATTATTTCTATGGAGTCTAAATTATGTTGAATTGTGAACCATGAATCATGAGGCACTATGAAGTGTTTTTAATGAAACTTGTTTGAACTATGATTCTGCTGCAAGTATGTGAAACATTGTTAATGCATATGCCATGAATAATTTTGAAAAACCGTGTTACAGAGTAAGACTAGCACGTATAATTATTTCACGAATAAAATGTGACGCTCTTTTGTTGTATTAATCTGATATTATTTTAAATATTTATGAACATTTCATTGGGTTTAGATGTTACATTAGTGGTATCAGAGCAGGTCGGTTTCTCTGACCAGGATTTATATGATGTCTATTTTTTGTTAATAGATTAATATCCGAATACTGTCTATGTGTTAATGGTTCTAATGTTGGTTGTCTATGCGCAAAGTTATGGTTGGAGGAAGAAATGATAACGCGATTGCTAATGCTTTAGAAGCCATGGCTCAGGCAATGTAGAACCAGCATGAACAACAGAACTTGAATGAAAGAAATGATAATGAGGCTCGTGCTTGGGGAAGATTCCTGAAGAACAACCCGCTTATCTATAAGGGCAGGCAACGATGCTGATGGTGCACATGCATGGCTGAAGGGTATTGAAAATATTTTCCGAGTGATTATTTGTACGGAAGATCAGAAGGTGTAGTTCAGTACTCACATGCTGGAGGGGGAAGCTGAAGACTGGTGGACAATGCGCGCCAGAGGATGGATATTCTGGGCACAAAGATTATTTGGGTTGTGTTCAGAGTTGCTTTTCTGGATAAGTACTTTTCAGAAGATGTGCGTGCTAAGAAGGAAATCGTATTCCTTGAGCTGAGGCAAGGAAATTCGACATTTGTTGAGTATGCAACTAGATTTGAGGAGCTAGTGAGATTTTGTCTGCACTATAACATTCCAATAACTGAGGTGTCAAAGTGTATTAAGTTTGAGAATAGACTGCATCCAGAGATCAAGCAGGGTATTGGGTATTTGCAGATTCGTCAGTTTCCTAAGCTGGTGAATAAGTGTAGGATCTTTGATCAAGATAGTAGGGACAAAGCTTCTTATTATAAGAATTATAATGAAAAAAAGGGAGAATCAGGATCGTGGTAAGCCGTATGCTGCTCTAGCTGATAAAGGGAAGCAGAGAGCTTATGATGATAAGAAGCCAAGTCGGGAAGGAGCTCCTGTTTCTATGAAGTGTTACCGGTGTGTCGAAGCAGGCCACCGTGCTAATGCTTGTACCAATAAAGTGCTAAAAGGTTACAAGTGTGGCAATGTTGGTCATCGTAATACTGAGTGCAAGAATGAAGGTCTGAATTGTTTCAATTATGGTGAGCAAGGTCACATTAGTACCCAGTGTCAGAAACCCAAGAAAGATGTAGCTGCTCCGACTAGTGGCAGATTGTTTGCTTTGAATGGTGTTGGGGTTGACAAGAAATACAATCTAATCAGAGGTACTTACTTTATTAACAATACTGAGTTAAAATTGTTGGGGCTACTCATTCATTTATTTTCCTTGACTGTGCTACTATGTTGGAATTAAAATTGTCTGATATGAATGGGGGAATGGTAGTGGAGTTTTCGACTAAAGGTTTTGTTACTACTACTCTAGTTTGTTTGAAGTGTCCTTTATCTATCTATGGCAAGAATTTTATGATGGATTTGGTGTGTCTACCCTTACACCAAATTGATGTTATTCTTGAAATAAACTGGTTGGAATTCAATCATGTTCATATCAATTGTTATAATAAGACAGTAAGATTCCCCAAGTTTGGTGATAGTGGAGAGATGATGTTTTTGTCTTCTAAGCAAGTAGATGAGTGTAATACGGTGGGAGAACTGATCTTTTTTGTTTTATCGCAAATGTTGCAGTTAACAAGAGTCACCACCAACTTTTTTTTATCCAATATTTAGGAAAGGTGAAAAGAATAGGAAAAACGTTTGATAAATTTTAAGTTCGGGGGTTAAGTTATGAAAAGGGAATGTGTTAGAACCCTTTTCATTCGTAGTTATCTAAGAGCTCTTATTTGTGTAACTCACTTTAAAAAACTTGTTTTGTGTGTGTGATTTGTTTGAAAATATTTTTAAATGTCAATGTAAGGCTAACTTTGTAATAATTCTTGTATGAGTCCTTAAGAATGTATATAAAGTGTTTTTGAAAATATTTGTTTGAAAGTGTAGTGTGGAAGATGACTTGTTTGTGAGCAAGCATTCAAGAGTCCTACCCACTAAGATCTTTATTATTATTTTCCTTCTCTTTTGGAGATAGTATTATCCATACCATTAGTTGGTAGGTAATCCTATCTATTGGATGTGAATAGATAGGCGTAGGGTCATCATATGGTCATCGAAGGTAACATGTAAGGATACTTTAGCAATTACATCGGAGGGACTATCATTATTTTGCTCGTAGAGTCATCGAGGGACTATGATATTTATTCGAAAGGGACTATGATGATTTGATCGAAGGTCTTTTGTTAAAGTATCCCCACTTTCGAGGGACATGACCAAAGTATCGTAAGACAGCAAGAGAGGTTACCTTAGAGGTGCAAGTGTGAAGAGTGTGTTAATTCAGTTATTTAATCTTGGGAATTAGGATTTTTTAGATTGCTTTTAGTCTTGCCATACAAACCCTAATTACTAACAGTTAAAATATAATGTGCGGAATATAAAGTGAAGAAATTTAAACCTAAGTTATTATATGTGAGCAGTTACATAATAGGAAAAATGCGAGAAAAGATAAATTTATGCTATTATATTGGTAATGCAGCCTATACAGTTGTTCTACGAATTTAAATAGCAAAAGAAATAAGAAAAATGTTAGAAAAATGTTTAAAGACCTAAAGTTCTAAGTTAATATTTTTGATATTTTTTTTAGAAAATAATTTAGGTTAATAAATAGTAATTAAAATCTTAATTAATTTTAATATTGAGAAAAAGTTAATTAATTAATAAATTAATAAATAAAACATGTCAAGAAATTAATTACTAACTAGAAAAAACCTAATCCTAATTTATTTTAGTTTTAAGAAAAGTTTAAGGTTAATGGTTAATTTAAAAAATAGGTTAATTAATTAAGAAAATGGAATGAAAATAGGGTTAGAAAATAAGGAAAACAAATATCCATGGGGTGGGAGTTGAACCCACGCCCTTCCTTTCACCAGTATGCCCTTCTACCATTGGGCAATGTTGTTCTTTGTGTTATGGAATGGGAAGGAATCCATTTGGTATTAACCTGCGTTGAAACCTGAAAAACAAAATTATTTGACAAAAGTTGGGATCGAGCCCACGCTCTTTGAAATAACAAATGTATCACTCGCCACTATGTCATCTGTGTTTCACGTTCATATATCATCATCATTCAATATAATATAAATTGAAATCAAGAAATCAAATTAAATTAAAATCATAAAATGTGCGTTGTGCTAGGGTCATGTTTTTTTTAATCAACCAATGGGATGGTGACATGCCTATGTCACCTGAGTCAATGGGGTCCAACCACCATGGAGGGTGGTCAACATTTGTCTTCTCCGATGAGGGGGTTTTGGAAACCT